TTGAGCATTGCACGCAACTTCTTCAAACTAGAAACAATCTCTAGAGGATACAGCTTGTCTGTCAACCAAAAAAGTCACGAAATTAAGAAATTCTTTACTTCAGCATCAATATTCGTGAGTTTCAGGCCATCTGGTTTGATGCGTTTCTTGCTACTTTGATCGGCAACATCCCAAACATCCACTTTGACAATGTCATCTGTTGCACGATAATTCCATTGCACTGCTGCAACCTGTAAAAAAATTAGAAAAACATTCAAAAATACAGTTTTACGTATTTCTATTCCGTCAAAAGCCACTTCGAATAATTAGTGAGAAGGAAGGACTCATATTACGGCCTATATGGAACTATGTGGAAGTGAAACGCTCTGCGATGGCCAGAACAGCAATGACGCGAACAGTACCGGCGGTGAGAAGGAAAAGAGCGTCAAATAAATAACAACGCGCACCAGACTAGCTGGTACGATCATGCGTTTTGTGCAGTTCCACCCATCGAACGATTGCCTATTAATGATTTTCACTGCTTTGTACTTTTAGTCTGTGCAAAAGCAGTTGAACGTTGAAAAATAGTCAAAAATTTCATGCACCGGCGCACGAAAGCTGAATTTGAGATCCTGAAGGGTGAATATCCCTTCCGTGGTTCCCGAGATAATAATTTACCCTCAAAAATTTTCACTGGCCCATAGGTGATAACTGAGAGCGCGGGAACGCTGAATTTGAATTTGCACGATCGGGCAGGGGCGAATTTGAATTTTACCTTAAAATTTCAGCTCCTTTGGTTCTGTGGTTCCCGAGATAATAATTTACCCACAAAAATTTTCACAAGGCCGTACATGTTAGCCGCGGGTAAGGAAAATCTGGATTTACTAAGTAGCACATGGGTGGAGAACATGTCCACATAATTTCAGTCTTCTAGCTTCCGTGGTTCCCGTTATAATTTTACCCACCCAAACCTTTACGGAGCCGTACGTGTTACCCGCGGGGACGGGGGAGCTGAATTTAAATTTGCAAGGCCGCATGTAGGTGAGGAACGTTCCCTAAAGTTTCAGCTTCCTAGCTTTTGTGGTTTCCAAGCTAAAGGTTGCGGCCAAGTTGCTGCGGACAAACACACACACGCACACACACACACACACACACACACACACAACCCCGTGACAATATGCGTTTTGTACTGCTATTACACAGCACAGAATGCATAAAAAATATTTTA